AAGTGACTGGCTTAGAATTTTCTGGTTTGGGTACTAACTCCCACATCTCATTTTTGTCTAATGCTTCAATTTCTTCTTGCATTGCTCTTTCCCATTTTAGACAATCTTTGGCTTCCTCATAGCTTGCTGGTTCTTCTGCACTTAAAGCTCCTATAAAGAAACATGAGGTCACTGTGCAATGATTAAGTTGTACCTCATAATCTTTTAGATAATCTGGCTGCCTTGTCTCCCTTGTTGATCTTCTCACTGCTTGTTGCTCACCATCTCCTGGTCTTTGAATAGTTTGCCTTGGAGATTCATTTTCTATTTCATCATTGCTACGTGCTTGCAAATTAATTTCAAGAGATAGAGGCTCAAAGTTGTCTTGAGCATCATCAAGAGCAATATTTTTTACCACGGGCTTTTGAGCAGAACATAAAGATGATACTTCATCAAACACCACATCTCTGGAAGTAAAAAATTTATTTGTTCCTGGATCCATACACCTCCAACCCTTCCTATAAGAGTCATAGCCAACAAATACACATTTCTTTGCTTTCGAGTCAAGTTTGGATCGATTAGATTTAGGAACATGAACATAACAATAGAACCAAATACCCGAAAATAATTCACATTTGGCTTTTCACCACGTAAAATCTCAAAAGGAGATTTTTGTGTACCTGACCACGAAGGTAACCTATTTATCACATGACATGCACACTGAATAGCTTTTGCCCAAAGCTCTCAAGGAAGATTCTTGTCATGCAACCATGAAAGACAAACTGAAGCAAGATGACCAAGTTTCCTTTCTGCAACCTTGAATTCCATAAACTTAGATAATGTTTCACTATTCTCTTTCAAAAATTTCACCCAAGTGAATCGTGAGTGATCATCCACCAATACCATAACATAACAATGTTTGCTATAGCTTGGTGTTCTCGTTGGTCCCATCAAGTCTGTATGAACCAATTTAAATAAGGTGGATCTGTGATTTGATGAGCTTTTGAAAGAAAGACGATGTGATTTGCCATATTGGCAACCTTGACAAATCACATTCTCACGTACATCCTTCAAAGTTGGTGTGCCATTTATCAACTTTTTAGAAGAAATCTGCTGCAATATTTGGTAGCCTACATGACCCAATCGAGCATGCCAAATTGCGGCACTATTGATTTGGCTAGTTTTCTTTACATAGGCTTCACCTGCTAACAAAACGAATAGAGAACATTTCTTCTTACTAGTAAGAATAACATCAGCAGATATATCTTTCACATTATCAAACACCTTCACATCATTTGGACCAAACAAAACATATTTTCCAGAATTAGTAATTTGAGAAACTGAAACTAAATTTTTCTTCAAACTTGGAACATGATAAACATCATTCAACTTGACACTGCTACTTCTTGTATCATCAACAACATCGATTGTCATGACACCTTCTTTTGCTACCGGATAGGTTGAGTTATCTGTAGTAACAATAACCTGCTCTCCATGGTGTTGATGCATTTCCGAGAACAATGTGTCATTTCCGATTACATGGTGTGAACAACCTGAATCAATGATCCACTCCTCTTTGTCGTTGTTGACATAATTAACAAGAGTTTGGACTGACTTTTCTTCAACTTCTTCAACAATAAAACATTGCTCCCATTTGAGTTGATCATCTCCTTCACTTGCACATGCAACATTAACTTTGGAAATCTTCACACGACAATTTCTCTTAATATGCCCAGTTTTCTCGCATCTGAAACATTTGATAGATTTCTTACTTTGTGAATTGCCATCTTTCTCTGCACTTGAGTCTTCTTCTTTAGTCTTGTTCTAGGCTGATGTATTCTTCTTGTTTGGCTTCCCCTTTGAGAAGAGAACAGCGTCAGATTCAAAATTTTTTGCCATTTGTTTAGCCAAAGCTTCTTGATTAGAGAGCAAGTTCTCTAACTCCTCTACAGAAGGCTGTTGTGACCACCCTTGAATATAGGTGACAAAAGGCCCGTACTCCTTTCTCAATCCACCGACAAGATACCAATGTAGACGCGCTTCACTAATCTTGTCATCCGCATCTATCTCTGAAATTTCAGCACAGATACTTTTAACTCGTAAAAAGTATTCTAAAATTGACATACCTCCTTGTTTTAACATTGCCAACTCATTCTCCAATAGCTGTAACCTTGCTGTATTCTTCTTAGTACACAACTTTTCAAGCGTGTCCCAGACTTCTTTTGGAGAGCTAACATCACGAACATGATCAATAAACTCTTTGCTAATAGATGTCCTCAAAGCAAAAAGAGTCTTGCCACACTTGATCTTCCATTTCCTTCGTGACTCGGCATGCTCAGGAATATCAGTAGGAATCCCTGCATCAGTATCAGTAACTAATTCCCACAAATCCTGACCTTGAAGATATGCCTCCATACACATTCTCCAGTACTTGTAGTTATTATTGGCTGCAAGCTTCTCCATCCTGTACTGAGTATTTCCCCCATTTGCTACCTCCATTGCTGCAAACAAAAAAAAACTTTCTTTTCACAGCTTTCAAACTCCTGCAACAAGACAAGCTTGATAGACAAGACAAAAGAATGGCATTCCCACTGGTTCTGATACCATAAAATAAAAAGAAGAATAAAATAAAGAGAGAATGCCAAGAGAAAATAAAAGCTTTAATTGAAATGGGAAATATAATCAAAAAATCTTTGTGAGAAGAATGCGTACTTCATCTCGATCACATTAGCTATTTAAAGACCTGTTCCACTAAGCCACTTCCCACAAATCTCTCCAACCACTCACATCATATCTATCACTACTACCACTACTAAAATCTTATCTAGATAAAAACAAAACAAAACAACCCAAGCCACTTTCTACCATGAACAAGCCTCACGTGATAGCTATTTGACTTGGTAAACAAAATAAACAAAATAAATAAATGAACCACAATCACATCGTGTCGTACCTTAAGTTGCACTAATTTTTGACATGCTTTGCTTAGTAGGGATAGTGTTTCATGCCCAGAGTCAGATTCAAATACCTCAATACCGGTATACTCCGAATTCATACCTTTGTTTTCTATGAGGGACCTCCTATTTTAAAATCCTTTCATAAATCCCTCTTTCCCTTCTTATAAACCCCGAAACGGAAAAATAAACTTTTGAAGCCGATGAGGATGCCACTGGGGAGCTTGCTTGCTTTTCTCTTAGTTGTCCTTCCTTCCCACCAACTATGGGAAACTCTCCAGTCTGCCAGTCTTCCGTTTTCCCTACTAAAGATGAGTCGTTGTCTTCCAGTTTGTCTTCTACAACAAAATAAACAGATAGTTTCCTTAGTGCCTATTCAGATCAAAACATTGGATGTAGGTCCCTACAAAAAATTGACATAATTTTTTGTATTTTTTTTTAAGCTAGATATACACCTTTAATTAGTATTTCATAGTGGTGGTTACTGGTGAAAAGAAAAGCCATTACATGTGGCAACATATAGTTAATTTTAATTATATGAACTCATGTGTCCGTACGGTGATCTGGTAAATTCTTTTAACTCCTATAAGAAATATAATAATATTTTGCTTATAACTGAGTCATAAAAACAAACAAAAATAAGATAAAATTCATATAAAATGACTACTATATCCTCTGTTTTTTGTCTGTTTGTATAACTCAGTTGTAAGCATAGTATTGTTCTAAGAAATATTAAGAAGAAATTCAAATTTCATTTAGACTGACTTCTCAAATGGTAAACACATTATTTTTCATATGATTGTGGGGTGGGGAATAGGGAGCATTGCTATAATCCAATAAGCTCTCTATCGAAATGAAAACAATTTTGGACTCCTATCGTTATATTATAGCTGGATTTAGTGAATGAATGGAGTGTAAAAGACCGGTAACCCACTGATTCGTGTCGTTGGCTTGTTCAACGAGGTTGTGGCTCAAGCAAAACTAGCCATCGCTTTGCTTGGCCATGCTTGAGCCACAACCTCACTTGGCCATAGAGGTGGGCAAGGCTTGGGCCTAGCGATCCTAGGCCTAGGGGGATCGGGCCCAATTTTTGAAGGACCGATCCTGGGCCCATAGGACCTGTCTTGGCGTGGGACACGTCTTATGGGTCCATGACCGATCCTATTTATTATCATTATTTTTTTTTTTGGTAAAACTATATTTTGGCCTTTACATTTATTGTCAAATTGATATTAAATAGGGGGTTTGGGATATTTCACAAGAGTTAAATGGAAGGGGTTTGGGCCCGAACCCTCCTCTCTTATGTCCTAGGACCGGTCTTTATAGGACCGGGTTTTTGGGGGACTAGGCCTAATTCCCATCTCTATTTGGCCACGCAAAACAACCATCAGTTTTCATTATTTTATCTCTTTATTCAATTTCATAGTCAGGGTATTTATCTTTCATTTGTTTGTCCAATTTTCCTTTTATCCAAACATAATAAAAATATCTTGAAGGGTAAAAAAGAGACGTTAGTTTTCTTTGTTCATGACTACTACTTGCACTAATATTTTGAATCATGATTATTCTAAAGAAATCATATGAAAAAATCAACAGACAAATACAGCTGTAAAAAACTACTTATATAAAATTAATAATATATTTTCGGAACTATTATTTTTACGAGATTATCTTCATTAAAATATTATTTCACGATAGTATAGTGTATGTATGAATATTTTCAATTGCAAAGAATACGAGTGATAGAATTAAACGTAATATGCCCCTCTACACATTTATCTCATTTATATCCTTTCCCACATCGATCGGTCAGGCTAGGGGTCAAACAGATTGGGCTTGGGCTGATGATTTCTATTAGTTTGGGTGACAAATCTGGCTGGCCTGGAATCCACGAAAAACGGGCGATGCTGAAATTGACAATGAGCGAGAGAAATTTGAGACGTGGGTTACTTTGACGTTTTTAACCTTCAATTATTAAAATAAAATAAATAAGGTTAGATTAAGGGTAAAAATAGGGAATAATCAAGGTCGGGTGGGAATAAAGTAGGTAACTAACAACTTCACATCAAGACAAGAAGATCCCATTTCCAGCTCCCTCCGAACTTTTCACAGTAAAAAAGATCCACTCTTGTCTTCACTCTCTCCATCAGCATTAAATTATTCGCCTCACTCCTCACAAAAATCAATCCCATGCTGAATTCAACATCTCATTATCCCACAACGCCATGGCCCTCGTCTTAACTCTCCTTCAATCTCTTCCTTCTGATAACATTCCACTCATCATACTTTTCACTTTCTCTTCTCTTTTCGCCGTTTTCTTCCTCAAATGGTGGTTAGCAAAATGCAAGAACCCAATCCCTCCATACCCACCTGGCCCACGTGGCGTTCCCTTACTGGGTAACCTCCCCTCTCTCGACCCGGAGCTCCACACTTACTTCATGCGCCTTTCACGCGCCTACGGCCCCGTTTACCAGCTCCGTCTCGGGAACAAAATCGGCATCGTATTGACTTCTCCTTCTTCAGCTCGCCAAGTCCTCAAAGACCACGACACCATTTTCGCCAACCGGGACGTGCCCATTACAGGTCTGGTCGCAACTCAAGGCGGGCATGACATTGTTTGGAACCCGTATGGACCAGAGTGGAGGATGTTGAGGAAGATTTGTGTTCTCAAGATGCTTAGCAACAAAACCCTGGACTCCGTTTACGCGCTTCGGCGGCGTGAGGTCCGACAGACTGTTGGGTACATATACAGTCGGGTCGGGTCACCCGTTAACGTTGGTGAACAAATGTTTTTGACGATACTGAACGTGATTACGAACATGTTATGGGGCGGGTCCGTTCAGGGTACGGAGAGGGCTAGTTTGGGCGCGGAATTTCGGGATTTGGTATCTGAGCTGACGGAGTTATTGGGTCAGCCGAATATATCGGACTTTTTTCCGGGTTTGGCACGGTTTGATTTTCAAGGACTGGAGAAGAAGATGCATAGGTTAGCTGGGAAATTGGATAGGATGTTTGATGGGATGATTGAACAACGGCTGAGGATTAATGGAGAGAGTGGGAAGCAAGAGAGTGAGGATTTTTTACAGTTTTTACTTGAGCAGAGGGATGGAGGTGATTCCAAGACACCTTTTACCATGACCCATGTCAAAACCTTGCTTATGGTAAGTCTTTTTTTTAAATCTTATTATTATTAGTTTATTTATTATTCCTTTAATTACTTAAATACGAATGAATAATATTAGTGATATTAAAAAGTTAACCAAATTTTTTGTCATAAATAATTTCAAATCTTAAACTATATTAATGGCGACAGGGGCGGATCCAAAGTGTATTAAACAAAAATTAAATACATTATTTCATTTAGTTTGACTTTGGCCCACCCTTAATTTTTATTGTCAAATATTAAAAAATTGTGGCCCACTCTCAATTTTAGAACTAAAAATTTTTGTTTGGCCCACCCTAATAAAGATTTCTGGATCCGCCCCTGAATGGCGATACATCTTTTGTCATAAATAATTTTTTGTAGTGATCTTTTCTGTTACAACTTGTGAAATTTGTAGCACTTTACTTATTCTAATCTGACTTTACACAGTTCATGTTAAGTTTAAATTATAGATATGATATTTTGTCTAATTTCTACCTTCTTCCAAACTGTGTAATTTTCATGAGTTCTTTGACATGGGTTGGTGAATTTGTGGACAGGATATGGTGGTGGGTGGGAGCGATACATCCTCCAATGCAACCGAGTTCGCCATGGCTGAACTAATCAACAAACAAGAGGTAATGAAGAAAGCCCAACAAGAGTTAGACCAAGTAGTTGGAAAAAACAACATAGTAGAAGAATCCCACATCCAAAAATTGCCATATTTATATGCTATAATGAAAGAGACCTTGCGTTTGCACCCCGTCCTCCCACTATTGGTTCCCCATTGCCCCTCTGAAACTTGCACCATTGACGGTTACACAATTCCGAAGGGTTCACGAGTCTTCATCAACGTGTGGGCGATTCATAGGGACCCTTCGATTTGGGAGAATCCATTGGAGTTTTATCCGGAGAGGTTCTTGAATGGGAAATGGGATTACAGTGGAAGTGACTTCAGTTATTTCCCATTTGGGTCTGGGCGAAGAATTTGTGCTGGCATAGCTATGGCGGAGAGAATGTTCATGTATTCACTGGCCACACTTTCGCATTCTTTTGATTGGAAAATGCGGGACGGAGAGAAAGTGGATCTCACTGAGAAGTTTGGGATTGTTTTGAAGTTGAAGACGTCTGTTGTGGCAATCCCAACACCAAGGTTATCTGATTCAGCACCGTATGAGTAGCCACAGAATGCGCAATTAATTGTTATCGTGAAATATTTGGGAATGTTTGACACGCGACATTGCATAACATTAAGTAAATTGTATGACATAGTATTGTATTGTATTGTATTATTATACCGTATGAAGTGTTATACGATGTTTGATAGAACATTACTTTATATTATTTTCATACTATAATGTATCAAATAATACTTAATACTATTTAATGCCACATGTTAAACACACCCTTCAATTATTAATCAAGTTGATAATACTTCTCTTAAGTTTTACACCGCAAAGGACCGATATATAAGAAAAGATATATAACAAGAGTCTCCACTTTTACTTCTCTAAATCTTCCATTTCAAGTTCAACGACATCCCAAAATCTTCTCCCTCTTTTACCCTCTACAAAACCCTAGAGAGTCTTTTTAGTTCTAAGAAAAGTTTTATGGTATAACAAAGAGAGAGAGAAAAAAAATACATTTCACTTGATTAGGTTTAACCATATGATAAACAATTTATAAAGTTCTAAATATGACGATTATATATCAATTTTCATGATGTGTTATTATTTTAAAGAGTAAACAACTTTTTCCCACCCAAGGTTTGCCTTAATAACACTTTCCCACCCAAAGTTAATATTTTGTTACTACCCAAAGCCTATTTCGACGGCAAAATTTCTCTCCATCACCATCATTTAAACTTCCGGTCTCCTCTATACAAAACCCCTTTCACTCTAGTACCTGATTTCTTACCGATTGCCAGCCATTGCAAATCTAGGGTTTCCTGTTCTTAGCTAATTTCTGACTGATTTCGGTGGCAAATATTCAATCAGCCAGCACTATCATTTGATCCACCGACTTCCACTTTTTAAAAACCCTCTTACCATGACTCCTGGTAACTTGTCAAACGTTAGTTGAAAAAATGAATTGTATTTTGAGTATTAACGGAATATAAACGTTGGATGAGAAAGTGGTATTTGAAACTTATTGGGTGGGAAAGTGTCAGTGAGGCAAACCTTGTGTGGGAAAAAGTGGTTTACTCTTATTTAAAAATACACATTATGACACTTAATCATATATACAACATATACCATTGATATAAAGTTATTTTTGTCTTTATTTGAAACTTATAAAACCGGTTAGCAGTTTTTATTTACTTTTATTATATATTTAATATCCATCATTAGATTTCTTTTAAGAAATCCAAAGGTTATATTTCTCTGGCATAAGTTGCATCACAAGTAAGGTAGTCTTTCCTATTCCTAATGTAACCTCCAAAGCTTGTCTCTGTCAATTTCATTTTCTATCTACTGGAATTCCAGTTTTACCCTTATTTTCATTGCTAGAAGAATAATTTTTTAAAAAAAAAATTAATTAATAAAATATTATGGAAGATAACAATTAAATACGAAAATAACCAAATATAAAATAACAATCCTAAAAAGTTCATCCAAAATCATAAATTTGATCGTCCAATTGTTGGTTTTGTGATTCTTGATGCTTTGTGATAATTGGGTTGTGTATTTTAGGGAAACAAATTTTGAGAACTTTTAGGATTTATTGTATTAAGTCCAAAGATTTTAGTCTTTGAGTTAGGACTTTTAGGTGTTTTGTCTTCAAAATGTTATACATATATGAGGTGAATTGTCTAAATTACCTTTTCACAGTTAAGTTTAACATTTGGATTTAAAAAATAAGGGTAACATTGGATGTTTCCGAAATCAGGGAGAGAAATTTACCCTTTTACGATATATTGGGGGTCAAAATATCTTTTGGCCTTTGTTTGTCTATAAAAAAGTGTTCAAGTCTTATTGGAAAAAATAATTTTTTTGTTATTGTTTGTGTTGTGAAGTACTTCAAGTTGATGGTAAGCTTATATTTTTTAGTCAATGAGTTATTTGAAGAGACTTTGTGCTTTATATATTTGTCTCTAAATCTGTTTTGTCTATTGTGTATATTTTGTTTTAAATTTTATTAAAACATTTAGATAAAAGAGAAGATCTCATCACCTTCCCGCAAAATTGCACAAATCATTCATCTTTCAACAAAAATCATTAAATTAATCAAGGAGTCTCCAATCCACTTATTTATTGACACTATAAAATAAAACAATCAATTAACCCTTTTTTTCTTCCTTATTCATTATTTATTAAAAAAATAATTATATAGTTGATTAGAACTTACTCAAGGCAATCCTAGTAATTTATCACTCTTATTTGTTAGAGTTGTTGACCACTTCAACAATAAGGGGCCATGTAGACGCAGTCAGGAGTCTACAATAGGATTGGGCCTATTCCATGAAGAGCCACGGTAGGATTTCTCTAAGTATTAATTATTTATTGGGTTTGGGCTAAGAAAAGAGATCTTGCAATACTAGGTTTTAGTCCTTAAACTAGTATATAAATTAGTTTAGTTTTTGTATGAGTGTGATAACAAATCATAGGGTAAAAATCTGAGATTTTCTTAAAATATGTAGAGAAAATGCTTCAATTGATTTCTTTTTTACACTCGTTAAATCTAAGTTTGCAAACAGCCAAATGCAATGTTGTGGTTATCAATGAAACAAAACGTTAACCAGTAGAATAATATATCTCCTAGAACAAGACAACAATTCTATTGTGAATCATTAAAACTAATAATATATAAAAAAATAAAAAAAAGATCATGACACTGGCAACGAAATAGGACATGACCACACACCGAACAAACTTCGTCCCCTGTAGCTAGGATTTTTATTTCTTTAAGAGTTGTACAATTTTTATTTATTTATTTTGTTTTGTAAAAAAAGATTTTTTTTTTTTTAATTTTAACAATAATTGTGATACACATATTATGTGTATGATATTCTAATCTATTTTATCTATGCAACATTAGTTTAATTATCTTGCAAATGAAATCAGTTGGATTGAATTTCAACAATTCAAGTATTTTATAAATTATGTTATTTTTAAATTATAACAAAAAATAATAAAAAATAATGAATTTTTATCATTTTATGAACTAGGAGGTGAGACAGATTTGGCAACTTATAAATTGATGGGAGGCCTTCATATTATAAAGGAATTCTAAATGTGTTGCTATTCATGTAGAAAGTGTGGAGAATCAGGTTCAACCATTGGTTTCACTAGCTTCTTTAAGTCAATCCCATGTAGTTAGTTAGTAGGATCATTTTCTAATAAGAGGTAAATAACTGGGTTTTATTCAAACAAATTTAATATTTGTTTAAAGTCAAATCATAGAAAAAGAAATCATTGAATTGAAAAAATCAATCAAACAATTAACTTCATTTAATTTTTTTTTTCCCTAGTTTGTTTGTTCGTCTTATGTTGTATTATGAAAGATTAAAAATATTAAATTCAAACAAAGATTATGAATTTATTAGCCATAATTTTGCATTGGTTGACATCAAGTCGAGAGGTGATATTCTTTAATTTTGGAGAGTAAAAGTGGATAAAAACATAAACCTACATTTATTGAAATAAAAGGAAATTTTTGGAATGAATGGGGTATATTTAGAAGTTAAATTAGTATAATAATAAAAAATGGGGTCATATTAGATAATAAGGGGGGTTAATATCATTGCTCTTATATTTTTAACCTCTACTCAATACCAAAAATACCCACTAGGCTTAATTAGTTTTTTTTTTTTTTTACACTTTTTTTCCCAAGTTCTAATTTAGAACCGGAAGCATGAAGAACTGGTTTGGTTATCCTTCTAAAATTGGTTTAATTAGTTTTTATTTAAATAAAAAAAAAAAAAAAACACGAAATTGATTGAGATCAATTCGGTGGGCTCAAGCCGATTCCAATTGATAGTTGCCCATCCCCATAATTTGGGATGCGAAATCGGAGATATATCTTGGGATGAGTTGCATTATTCCTCAAGTAATTTACTATTATATTGAGCGAAGTTGTTCTTATTAACAAAAAAAAAAAATTATGAATTATTTAATAGCTTTTAAAATATAAAATGATTTGAGAAGTGATTTTTAGCCCCCACCTATTTTATTAGTATCCTTTGTTGCTAAATACACCTATATATATACATATAGTATTGAGCGAAGTTGTTCATTAACAAAAAAAATTATGATTATTTTATAGCTTTTAAAAATATAAAAAGATTTGAGAAGTGATTTTTAGCCCCACCTATTTTATTAGTATCCTTTGTTGCTAAATACACCTCTATATATAATAGAGAGAGAAGAATGGTAATATTCCATTGGTTTAGGGTAATGTCATCTATCATTGTGTCAGTTTTATATACTTATCGTAATCTTTAGACATTGACTTCTAAAACTAAATGGGATTTATTATAAAGAAACTCTTATAGAGAAACAAACAAATAATTGCATTATTTATTACATCCGTGCAGGTTGAAGTATGATATTTTATTATATATTATATACAGATGTCTTGTTAATGTTTATAATATTGAAGATCAAACTGGTAATCAAATATAATTGTGATAAGACCAAATGTTATATACAATATTCTATAGTCAGCTTGTATATTTTTCTCAATAAGATCAATTCAATTGTTCATTTAAACACTGCAAAATTTCAAGAGGATTTTATCGATATAAATGGAAACAATAAACAGGATCTTGGAATTCGGAGAGACGTTACTAGATTGAAAAATAAAAATATAAACAATTTATCTTACACAAACTATGTTTAATTGACCCCAGAATTTGTGAACGGATACGCTTGCACCTGTTAACTGTTCAATACCATGATTACTCCATTGTCAGAGCAAAAAGCGTACATCTTCATAATCATTATAACTGTCATTACAGAACTAAGACACTATAGAATGTTAGTATATAACTCTTATCTAGATCATTCTAATTATAACTGTGAGTCTATAGTATAATCTTAATGCTTATATATATTTTTCTCAATTAAACAATTAGATTGTCACTTCTATAATAACACTGTAAAATCAAAGAACTCTTATGAATATGGAGAAGACTTTGAGCATATGTTGAGAAAACAGAGATGGAAACAGAATTTATGTTACATAAAATTATGTTGAATGATTTCGAGAAATTTGAAGAGAAGGCTGCATGTCGAACATTTCAAACGCGTTCTTTTTCCACATTTACATATATGTAATCAGACAAACATGTCAAATGTGTTTTCATTTTTCACTTTTCCAAATCATTT